AATATGAACACAAGCACATGGCAGGTACTTCAAAATGCTCAAGGAACAATGAAATTACAGTACGAATTTATTTTGATGCACACAGTTTTTGAGATCTATCCATAGTATGTCCATAATACAAATTGTCCATGAACTTCTTGAAGACCTCACGCATGTGAAAAATGAATACTCGATGTTTTTGTCCTGACTTAGTGTGTAATTTGTTAAGTCTGTTGCCCATGCCTTGAGGGATGCACACTCTCTCAGAGCACCTCTCCATTTCTGCCTTGTGTGTAAGTCGCATTAAACACAGTGGATAGACAATGATTATCCATTCATTCATCCATTTCATCGGCTTCTGGTACATGTGCCACATGGGTGCGTGATGAGACACTTCCTGCCCTCACGGAGCTTAGAATCCAGGAAAGTAGATACTCAGAAAACAACAAATATTATAAACGCAATCAACTGTAACGCCGGGAATTACCAGATGCAAAGGGACATACTGAACTTGGTGTAGGGCCCAGAAACGTCTGTCTGCAACAGTAGCACCTAAGGTGAACCTATCATGACCGTAAGAACCTCACCCTGAGTGGTTGGGGCATGCAAGGCGTGTCCACAGTGGCCAGAAGGAAAGGGGCAGAGGGAAGTGGAAGGCAGAAATGCCCAGTGTGGCACAAACGCACACATGAGCAGGACAGTGGCAAGCTCGAACTCTGCTCCCCCCTCCAGCCCTGGTCTTGGCAATCACTTCTCCCATTCTCGGTCTCCAGTGCCATGAAGCGAGAGCACACCTGCCCTTGGGGGACTGCCATGACTATGAAACAAGATGACATATGTACTCTTTCCTCAGGGGCTGGTGGCAGCAGCGGCTGCTGCTGTGTTAGGTGAGTCGGGCTCTCCACTGACTCTAACACTTGCAAGGAACCTTTACCTGAACGATCATGTACATGCAAATCTCAACAAGTATGTGCTTTTCTGCCTCAAAGGACCGATGACAGCAAGATAAACGGAGGGGGAAAATAATCCAGTCACCAGTTGACACTTACACAAGACCCCCCAGGGAAATACAAGAGATCCCCAAGATCAGAACATCTCCCCTATTATGAGCCTACAGTATAATATAAAACTGCAGAGTCACAGTTTCATATCGCCTCATTGTGGTGACGTGTTTTTCTCTCTCTTTCTCCCTTCCCTTCCCTTCCCTTCCCTTCCCTTCCCTTCCCTTCCCTTCCCTTCCCTTCCCTTCCCTTTCCTTTCCAGAGGGGTTTGCTATAGGGTGCGTGCACTCACCAGAAAGACAGAGAGACAAAAAGCGAGAAATCACCCCCCAGGGGGGATGGCCACACTGCAATCCCTTCTCCTCCATTCTCCCGCATGCACACGCGCCTGCCATGAGTTTGCCACTGGGTCCAAGATTCGAACCATGGTCGACTATATGGGAGTCCAGTGACATAGCCATTATGCCAACTGCTGGCCCCACTCTTGTATCCTCCCTATGTTCTAACCACATTCTTAAGTTAACCTCATCAGGGGAGGAATGGCTCTATACCTCCCACTGCAGAGAGGACCAGAGGCAGTGACCCCTGGAGACAGACCTGCGCAGGACAGCAGGCAGCCCCAGGACAGCTGGGAACAACAAACTTCCAGCTGAACCTCAAAGAAAGGTCTTCTCTTTTCCAGACAGCCTGGAGGGTCCAACGACAGCAAAGCGTTTCCAACCTTTGGTTGGGGAAAATGATGTCAAGTTTATGATTCAACAGTACTCAACCACGAGGGCCATAGAAGCCACTGGGCTACAGCTGTTGAAAATAGCCAAGACCGCTTCATAAAGCACGGCCTTAACTCTTGTTTCAGAAGCAACAGAGGTAACCCTGCTCCCTTCCCAACAGCTTTAACACTCAAGCATGGGGCTCCTAGAAGCCCTGGACTGCAGTGGGGACGTGGCTTGGTTGGTGCCATTATTGTAAAATGGGCTGTTCGGCAACCTCAGCATAACTGGGTCACAAACAGAGTGAGAGAAATTTGTAAACCTTTGGATTGTCGAAATACCAGAGAATAGAAAACTGTTTACTGTTTTTGCTCTCTTGGCAACACGTTCCATATTTAAATAACTATTAGGTCATTGGAAAAGTCATGACACATTTTTGCATAGAAAAACACGTCACAACTTTTCCGACAACTCAGTATGTGCACACACTAGGCACTGGCAAAGAATGCGCAAGCACCATATTGCACATTTAATCCCCACACACCCTACATGAAGGTTCAGAGTCAGGGTGTGCATTAACTCATTTCACCACCTCCCAGCCCCCCACCCCCAAATGAAAAGCCGGCTGTGGTTGTGCAGCAGCAACTAGGCTGTCCACAGTGCTGAGGTCCCAAGTTCACATCCTGACAGCTCCCCGTATGCACAACTGGCCGTGCGTTCACACGCGTGCCTGTGATCCTGGCTGGCTGAGGCCAGTATGAAGACACTGCTGGGGATGCCTGTGTGTGTGTGTCCGTCTCTCTGTATGCACAACTGGCCGTGCGTTCACAGCGTGCCTGTGATCCTGGCTGGCTGAGGCCCGTATGAAGACACTTGGGGATGCCTGTGTGTGTGTGTGTCCGTCTCTCTGTGCGTCTCTCTCTCATGGAGCAAATGAACTTCACAAAAAATCAACAGCTAAGTAAGTAATATCTGAAAAAGGACACTGCAAATTTCAATGTGCTAATTACAATTGGTAATAAATTATTTTCAACAAACTTTACAAATGATGATTACAAATGATTAAGTCTCGCCAGTAAACTAGAACATCGAGATGAGAAATTTGACCCTAGAAAATGACACCCAAGAGAAACGACCATATACAGTGGGATCATACTAGGGGAGGAAGGAAACAAAAGGAAAAAGATGGAAAAAGAGAATCTAAGAAATGAAGAAAAGAGACTCAAGGAGATCAGCTGGGCAGTCCAGAGGAAGCAGAGGCGAAGTGTAAGCGGCCTTCGTTAGCTCTCGGCACCACGAGGGTCCAAGAAGGTATCGATCTCAATGTTTAACCGTGTGATCACACTCACCTCAGCTTCTCACCTGCACGGTCCTTTGTTCTATTTCGTATCTGGAACCCTGTGGGGGCATCTGTAGTTGCCACAATGATGGGAGAGAAGAAGCAGGCACTGTGTGATGCACACACATGCACACACATCACCTCAAGAAGCATCTTACTTAACGTTCCAGTGTCTTACTAGACATTGTCAAGTGAAAATCCTGAGCTTGGAAACGAATCCCATTCTATGCATGGAGAGAAACCTTTTCTCAATAGTTTGCTATAGGGACATGTGCTTGCCAGAGCGAGGCAGAGAGCGATGAAGGAGAAGAGACAGAAAGAGAAAGTGAAGCACCCCCAAGGAGGGATGACCATGTCTCAATCCCTTCTCCATTTCCCTCTCTGGCCTTTGGGCACACAGGCACATGCACCCAGCATGTTCTTCAAGCTGCTGGGTCCAAGACTCAAACAGTGCAGGTGGCCACATGGAATCCAGCCACCTTCACCTTCATGCCACCTGCTGACCCCAACAGAAACTTTAGCACAGTTTTATACATGACACTTTCCAGGACAGCAACTCTCACATAAATGGAGGAAGCCCCTACTTTGGTGTGGAAATGTACTAAAAACTATTTACCACGTCAGAAACCATGTCACTAATGGCAGCATGGCTCATGAGATCTGAGTCACTAATATGCCACGTCAGCAGCAGCCTTCTCTGTGAGTCTCACGGTCGTGCGGAGTCTCTGTGTGGGTGCTGGGAGGTGGGACATCATTTCATCTCCCAGGGTTGTGTCACCAGAGCGTGATCTGCAGTCTGGCTGAGGCCCACAACTTTGTCAGCACCTCTCTGTGCTTACAGGAGGGTGCTCCTCTCTAACTCAGCTATTTATTTACCTTTTCCACAGCAAGATGCTCTCAACGAAGGGGCCGGGTGGGTGATTCACAGGTGACAGTCTCACAGCAGACCGCACTTCCAGGACAACTGTCCTAGTAGACAACTAACCGAAACATCTCGATATTTAAGTAAATGTTCACAAACGACATTTCCTTTCATTTGATCTTTGTTGGACGAAGCGTGATTTTGATTTCTTTGGTACGTATGAATTACATTTCTGACCAAGACACGGATTTCTGCATAGTGTAGTAAAGACAGAGAGAGGATTCCCTGGTTTCTGAAAGTACGGGGAAACCTGTCAAAAGGGAGCATTATGATCTGGACTGCTCCAAAGTGGTCAAATCACATCACTCCAAACCTAAATTAAACTCCTCGGATAGATCCTGCATACTGTTTGCTGACACTTTACAGTTTCTCACCATTCAAAACTGTGTTAATAAGGAAGAAACAACAAAAACGACCTCCTCTATGCCCAAGCCTTAGAATACTGCAGGAAAGGACTGGAATGTGAGGGTGCACTGGACCAGAGCTGTGCCTGTCTCCACGGACACCCCTCCATGCCCCTCGCAGTGCTCCAGGAACAGCCGTGGAGCTCAACGGGAAAGACAGAAACCGTGCAGTCCTCAGGGCCCCAGACGTGCGGGACGTGGCCATTTACAGACGTTTGCTGACTCCTGTCTTAGATCAACCGCATCTTGCTAAGTTCTAGTTTCATCTTTAACCAATTTTCCTTTTAAATAGATGGATTCTAATATCTCGTAATCGGTACTGTGTATTTAAATATTCTAAGAGCTACGTGAGATAAGCAGCGTATTTAAACTTCTTTGCCTACCGCTGAACTCCATTTCTGAACACAGATCTAAACTTCTCTGCCTCATTTCAGTTTGGCACAGCCAATGACGAGAATGGTTTGACCCTGTCAATTACCCAATATAGTGCAAGAGAAAGCTTTTTGTAAACCAATTCCTTACCTACATTCCTTATCTAGTCAAAACAGTGCTATAAGAACAAGTGGCGAGACGACAAATATCGATTTCATTCTCAAACGTAGGCAAAATGACACGATCTGTGTTCAAGCACATTATGCAAATTACCTCTTCGAGTCCCCAGGCATCCTGCATGATGGAATATGCCAACCCCGAAAGCTCACATGAAGGTCGAATACGCGATGGGCTGCGGTGAGGACTGTTTCCATCCTCAACGGCATCTGAGTCCAGGGAATTCGGAGTCGGGGCGGCCGCAGCTCCGCCGCACGCTTTGTCTGCGCCATTCCTGAGCCATCGCCTTCTGCTTCCCAAAAACACGCCCTGAAACGCCTGACACACGGCTGTCCATCACAGGCTCACCCAGCTGCGGCTGCGGCTGCAGAAGATCATTCTGTCCCCTTCAAAAATAGCTCGC